AATTCAGTGGTGGTGGATGCAAAAAAAAAACAAAAAACAAAAAAACAACAACTAGTTATGGACACACAATGATCAGCAGCACTCTTGGGAAAGAAATCTTAGACTTAATTCAAATAATTAGAAAAGGTCACCTCAGTGTTCAGCTGCTGTCAGAAATGCCCAGAGCAGCTTTTAGAAACTGCTAGGAAATAAGTTGAGAGAACAACAGAATGAATGAACAAATAAATAAATTCTGTCTTTCTGGATGAATCCACATGCACCTGCATCTTGAACACTCCTGTTCTCAATTTTAGAGCACATCATTGCTTGAAATGTTTTAAGGAAGCATGGAAAAGCACTAGAAAAGCACTGCCACTGGCACTAGCTGACCCAAGGCTGCTGGTATGATAAAATAGGGGGAATGAGGAAGATATCTGGTGTTGGGACCTGTCTTACCGGCAGCTTGTCATGGGAGGAGAATGATTCACAGTACTTAAGACCACCATGTTGGAGAGTTTTACTCCTCATTCATGGAGACAGTTGGTGCACATCTAGAGGATGTTATGTTCCTCTCCACAGTAAAGGACTCTCTGGCTTTGTAGTCAGGAGTGAGAACATCAGCATGTTTCAAACAGAGCACAGGTGATGCGTGGAGAAACGAGCAACTTAGGAATGATCTGAAAGGAATCTAAACTATATAAGCTGCCCAATGACAGATGGGGAAAAAAAAGAAGGACCCTCCTGTTTTGTCACATCTCTTGTCACCTCTTGCCCTCCCCTATTAATCATTTCCCATGCACGTCATCTTCTTACTTCCTTGCTCAGTATCTGATATCACTTCTCCCTTTCTGACAAGTAAAAACCCACCACCTTGGATTTTCCAGGGTGGATTCCTAATGATCCACAGAAAAAAAACTATAAGGCTTTTAAAAATGTCCTAAACTAGTTTGCCCTTCCTCTATTTAACTGATTTGCATTGAAGAGCAGTACTTGCTCTATTCTCAAACACAGGGATCATTAAAGGCAACAAACATAAATCATGATAAAAGAATACAGAGAATTCAAATACTTAATTCTCTTGATCATTTCCTTTTTCAATGGAAACTTGAGTTCTCCGTGGATAAAAAACAATGCTTTGAGATAAATCTAAAATAGAGAACTGAGCAGAAGGAGGAATTGTACTGGACTTGATTGGGAGGTACCTGTACTGTACACCTTTCCTGTGCATGAACACAGCATTTCAAAAACATACATACAGAACCCATCTAGGACTACTCAGAATACAGCTTGAAATATGGGCATAGATATTGTCCTGCATTTTAGAAGAGATTCATCCAGACAGCCACTGTAAACACCTGAAGGTTTTGGTTGGCAGCAGCATTTTGGAGGTGCACACTGGAGTTGCAGAAGTGTGTAGTCAAACCACAGACACTACAGGTACATCACAGCAGAGAACAGGCAAGAGCCCCAGCTGTAGGAGAGCAACTAGAGATGGATGGAGTCCAGCCATAAGTATTTCTGCCATAAGATTTTTGAACCTTGCATTTTTGCACCCTCTGGATTCACCACCTCCATGAAATGTACTGAAAAAAGTGACATTTTGGCAAAGAAAAATTAGTTAGGTTTTGAGTGTTATGTTTCAAAACCACATTTCATATCAGAATAAATCTGCTTCTATTAGTGAAGAGGAACACGTTTTACAAGGAAAAGCTCCAAGCCAAGCTAGTACATGCAGTAGAAAAAAAGGAGGCCTATTTTCAAGTTCAAAACATCATACAAAAGCAAAGTCACGTCCCCGGCAGTTTTGTTGGGGTTGGGTTGCATCCAGTTCCAACAACGCTATACAAGGCGTATGAGCCGTTACAATGGTACCTCACTTGATCTTACACGATAGAAAAGGCAGATTGCATGAAACAGGTGCTATGCAGTAATGCAGCTTCCTCAGTTATCTGCTTCACAAACAGCAAACTCTTTAGCCCTATTATTGTTTTTCTCATTTGCCACATTCCAGCTCCAAAAGCAACTCTAGTTCTCTAAATTGTTAGCAGCTTTTATAGCCAAAGATAAGTATCCATCACTTTTAATTTTCATCGTTGCATCTGTTTTGTCATTTAGCTGCAGCAGGTTGTATTACAATGAGACGATTAATGAGAAAATGGATACAAACATTTTTATTTCAAATAGCAGCTCCTGGACAAGATCTGTAGAACAGAACCAAGCCATGTGACTGTAAAAAATAATAATAATAATTAAAATAAAAATTGAAAAACCCATGCATATATTTGTATACACACAAACCTAAAGTGGGAGTTGTGCCAATGTCTATGAACACCTTAGAAATGCAACAAAGATAAAGGCATATTTTTCACATTTGCCTGGTTGGATTTTTTGTTTGTCTTTTACAATTAATTTGGCCTTTTTTATTTCACATAAATGTCCAGCTCAAGTGTGGTACATCAACAAATGGCATCATTTATTTTCCAGGGAAAAGCCAAACATTGTGCTTCCATTTAGAAAAGGCAGCTTATACAAAGCGTACTGCTAATATCAAAGGTTTTGGGAATGAGAAACAGTAACTTCTATTGCTGTCTCTAGGAGATTTGCTGTAAAAACTGTTCATTTATAATTATATTGGAACAAGAATATTCTTTAGTATAATTGTTACCTATAAACATAGAAGTCCTCCAAAATATTTTACAGTTTCTGCTGGATGGGAAGAAGAGTGTGATCTGTGGATACTGTCTACAGAAAGCAGATAAGCTGTTTGATTTACCCACCCTCACCCACCCAAATAATCCTTCAGATTGACAGAATTAGTTAAATTTCATTAATATTAACATTGTAGTCAGTTAAGATTTTGCTAGGAAAACAAAAAATATTCATAAAAATACAATCCCATGAAGCAACTATTTATCTAACAAACAGCATATTATAGTGAACAGCATATAAAAGTGAAGACTTCAATATTAGATTGAGATAAATATTCTAGCTGGAGACCTATTAGGTTCTGCACTTTCATGTCAATGAAACATTTGGCCTACCGATGCATTTTTGCCTACTCTGCCAGGCAGGGCTCAGGCTCTGCAGGAGGATACAGCCGCAGATCTCTGCAGGAAGAGAAGACCTTTTTTTCCCCCAAGTAAAATGTTCCCTAACTCTGCAAGGGATGTTGGCAGTAGATCTCAAACTCCGGCCTGTCTTTTTAATACCCCTACAATAGCTCAGTTGGATTGGGACCAGCTGTTGGTGCATTACCATTTGTAAATGCTTAAAGCAACTACTCCTTTTTTTCTTGGCAACACGTACTGTGGAAAAAAAAAAAAAAAAAAAAAAAAAAAAAGAAAAAGCACTTTCATTCAGACATTAAGAATTACTGGATGCCAGCTTTGGCTTACACAAGCTATTGTTTGCACAGCTCTCTTCAAGAAGTTTTCACAAAAAAAAAAAAAAAAAAAAAAAATCCTGTAGGGATAAATCAAGCCCCTAAAATTCTGATTTGCACCATCCACTCAGCCTTCATTGGAAACAAGATTCCTTTTCCAACCATTTCAGGCCACAGGTCTTTCTGAGTTTCAATTTCTGCAACATCCCCACAAAATCACCCAGATTGTTTTAGGAATAATAATTATAACTTCCTTATTCACTGTTTTAAAATAACAGTGATTTTTTTGCCTTTTAATATGAGCATAAGAAAGAGATCTGAGCTGTCATTACCCATGTTCTGAAATCAGATTCAGCACTGAAAGCTCAGGAAAAAGAAAAAAAAAAAGAAAACATTATACTTAAGCATTTGAGAAATACTGAAAGAGTCAAAATACCAGAAAGATCCCCCATTTAGCTGCCATGACAAAAAGAGCCCAGTCATAGTAGGGAACATACACCAACATTTTAGCTATTCAGATGAAAACAGCTCCAGTGACCTTTCACTGCCTCATCTCTTCCAACCACCCCTACTAGAGCATGGTGTACTGGAAGTGTCTAAGCACGAATGCTAGCATCTCGGTGGTTGCAGCTGCTAGTACAATAGGATTAATTTGCCATCTACCAACTCTAATGCCCTTCTGTTTCATCTTCTTTCCCCACCAGGGGCAGTGGTGACAGCATCTGTTCCACTGTTATTTTAGTGGCGCCTTTCGTGCTGTTATAGTTAAAGGTCTGTCAGCATTTCCATTACACACACTCATGCACACATTTCTTGAGGGGAGGGACAGCTCAAATCCCTCTCTGGGAAAAAAAAAAAAAAAAAAAAAAAAAAAGGGGAAAAAAAAAAACACTAAGAACACTGGGGCTGAAAATGGTATGAGAGTCTTAGAAGAAAACATTTATCTAATTTATTGTTAGAGAGAAAAAAAATGGAGATACAAGAGGTTCCTAGTAAACTATTTTGCATTTATTAATGGAAAACAATGGTGAAAGTTTTATATGGGTTGTTGTATGGATTGGTCTTAGAGAAATATATCATGTCAAAAAGAAAACAAAAAAGAAAAAAATGACAAAGCAGATAATTTCTCCCCACCAACAACACTCTTTTGTTAGTTTTTAGATGACTAATTTAGATGATAGAATATTACAGGATATTATTGCAGACAAGATTTGATGAATGAGCTGTTGATTGTGGCTGACCAGCTATTAATAAATAACGGGTACCCCAGATCTCTGAGCTGAGAGAGATAATGGGAGAGAAGCATTGATTTCTTCAGGAGGTCAAATGCACCAAGAGGTAAAGAATCTCTCTGCTGGGCATGGGAGCCTACAAGTTGGTACTCCCAGCCCTCCTGATACATGTGGCAGTGATGGTTGCTGCATCCGACAGGACAAGGGTTCATTCCACCATCGTTTTGTGGCAGCTGTTGCCCATGAACAAGTCTGAGTCACGAGCGTTACTTTCTATCCAGTAGAGTGGATAGGAAAAAAAGGCAAGTGCTGAGGCAATTAGAGGACAGGTCAGCTTATCTCAGCAATGAAAATCCTCTGGAAAAGCAACAGGTAGCAGGTTAACCAGCTCAGGACTGCTTCACAGACCCCACAGGTGTTTTCTCTCACTGAGCTATGCAAGCCTTTCCATGCGAAATTGCTGGACATGTGCAGGTTCCCCCTGGTGAAAGAGAACTTTGAAACAGTGTAACTTATCCAAAATCTCAAAACCCCTTTCACTTGGCGTGCTTTAATACTGCAGGGAGGTATCTCTTCAACAATAGAAGGGGGGAATTCTTATTTTACAAAAATCTCTTCTTATAGAGAGAAATTCATTGGCAATTGAGAGGGTCAGCACTAGCAGCAGTACAGTACTTGCCATAGGATGATTGACATAATCTGAGTTTTGTAAGGGCGAGTTCCAATTTGTCTCCAGTCTGATCAACACACTACCATCACTTACAACTTTACTTTCTGTAAACCTCATCCTCTTCCAAGTTCTGAAATAACAGTGAGGCATTTATCTTTCTGAAAAATACATAAATTAAAAAAAGAAATTGGGGATTTTTAAATTCTTAGTACCCTAAGGAAAAAAAAAAAAAGCCTCACAAGAAACAGCTAAGCAACATAGTTGGAGGCAAGGCTCCAAAGCCATACAAATTTCGTTAGTCACATTGATTACCATCACAGTCCAGTCACCGTGATGGGAAACATTAATAACATGCTGTTTCTTTCACAAGTTACATGATCAAATACCTGGGTGTCCTTTGTCATATCACTTAACTGCTCTGCATTTCAGCATCCTCATCTGTGAAATGGAATAGGTAATTAAACACTCATGAATGCTTTGGGACTCTTTGGAGGAAAGAATTATGGTGTCTTATTACTGTGAGACAACATGCAATTGTCTCAGGTCTCTGTAACAGCTGAGCCTAAATGGTAAAGGAAAAAAAAATCCAAAAGCTCAACTGAGATCTTCCGCCCTATCCTCTGCAAGATGCTGCTACTACTTAAAGCTGATTTTCATGTTGGGGAAATCAATCTGAGGCTGGATCACAATGAAAAATATTATCAGGTTACATGCAACCAGGTTGGGTTGGAAATGAGGAAGAGAAAGGAGAAATGAAGAAACATATCTCCCAGAAATATTACATTCATGAGCTGCAGGAATTATTTAAAAGATGACTGAGCAGAGGAAGCTCAAAAGAAGAGCATGGAATACGCAGCCTTCCTCTCACAAAAAAAACACCACCCTAAAACTACCCCCACTGTGTAGTCAATTTCCCAAAAGCACATGGCAATGAAAAGCATTTTATACTGCCCCAAATTTGCCAGCAGTGAGATCTAGGTGGCTACTGCCCACCTCACAGCACTGCAGAAGCAAGTGCCCAATGGGTATAATTCTCCATTATCTCTCAAACCTTTGCCACCAGTGTACAGATAGAAGCGACGGAAAAATGAAAAGTGTGTATATTGTAAGCGTTGGTTAAACAACCCCACAGTAATTCTTATTTGCTGGAGGTTTTAGAGAGCAGATGTAGGATTGGCAGGGGCCAGGAGCTGGCTATATTGTTCTAGCACATTTAGAGCCAACACGGAAAGAACACGGAAAGCTGCATTTTTGTGTGTGTGCATGCGAGTGTGTGCGCGTACGTGCGTGTGCCTGCCTTTTGCTATCAACTCAGCTAAGGTTTCTTGGATTCACACTGACACATACAGGAAAAAAAAACAGTGGGTTGGTTCTCTTCCAAAAGAAATATGACTTATATCAGCTGCTGCATGAGAGTCTCTCAATTGCCACTACTAAGCTGCCTATTTTGCAGTAGCAAGTGGCCATGTGCTGTAACACACTGATTGCCTGCTTTGGTGGTATCGGTTGCTAGAATAAGGGCAAACAAATGGGGAACCAAATATAAAAAGCAGCCAGCAGCACTGAAGAAGCATTACAGCTGCCAGGCAATAACTTAGATAGTTACAGCTGCCATCACCTAGTTCACGCAAGCTTTTTAATATCTTTTGGCAGCACTTGGTGTCACAGCACAAAAGGAAAGTTGGCACTTCCTAGCATACTTTGTTTGACATAACTGTAGGCAGAACCCAGCTGATACCTTCATCAATGTGTATGTGTTTGCTCTTAAGGTACATTTTAGCAGATCAAACATTGTTTTTCTCTTTCTGTTGCACAAACCGCTGCTAAATCATAGGTTGGGAACCACACCAGATAAATGGGAAGCAAGCTGGAGCACACGGCCAGTCCCAGCAGCACCTCCGATAAGGAACACAAAAAAAATCCTACAAAAATATAGTACGGCAGGAGGGGTTGCGGAGGGAGGTTTAAAAAAAAATAAATATACTGCTTTGCCAAAATGTTCTCCCGCCTCGCCAGTAGCAGCAGCAGCCTCAGAGCCAGGCCAGATTCTCTCCTCCATTTACCGTACTTATAAAAAACCCACAAGCACAAACACATAGACCATCACATACACATAATTAAAGCATCGACATCCCTTACTGTGATTTACAATCCACACCACCAGAAGTACACAGGCGCTCCCAGGATTTCATCAATGTCTCATCTGGTGCTCTTGGCAAACCCAACCTCTTCCTTAGACACAGCGCATGCTGCACCTCATTCTCTCAGAAATGGGGATGCAGAGCTCTTCCCCTTATGTGAACTAGGGAAGACAAGCACTAAATGTGTCAGCACTGCGTGATTTGCTGCCGTGGGACCTCATTTTGCAGGAGATTAATAAAAGACTAGCCTGCAGCATTGACTCTTGAGACTGCTTTCTATCATCGTGAGCCTTCTATGTGGCCCACAGATTCGGGTTATAATATTGTACAAGGAACTGGACAGCCTCTGCATAATGATACTATTTTACAGCACTTACAAGCAAATATACAGAGAGAGAAGGCTCTGCCCCCAGGAGCCTCCATTGGCTTAAAACACAGCAAGCCAGTAAACCTCCGCTTGAAAGCATCCTGAGGTTCTAATAATGCATTGAGTTGATTTATTTGTATTTCATCCCATAAAACAAATGAATCCCTCTCTTAGGCCTCTGTTGCTTTAACAGGCATTAATAAACTACAGCACTGAGATGAAGAGCATTACATCGCTTTTCAGGTGTAACACTATCAGGAAGGCTAGCAATTAAACTTGACAAAAGGAAAAAAGGGAAGGAGAAAATATCATTATTTTAATTTTAAAATAGGAAACTGAGGCACGTGAAAGCAACGAGATTTCTCCAAGCCTAATCCAGGGCCGAGAACCAAAAGGCAGATCTTCCCACTTTCTCATTCAGCATCACACCCCACAGCCCTGAGTCAAGCAGGCTCCTCTCTGAGGAGCAGAAATGGCTCTGGATCCAACCTGCCCACTGCTGCACAAGAGCTAAAAACTCCAGTTGATCGTGGGTGGTAGAACAAGGCTCCAGAAGCACCACAGGGACATGAGGGAGGTGCTGAATATTTTCCTAACACTTGGCTTTGGGATCCAAAGCAACACTTTCAGAGTGGCAGAAAAGGAAAGCTGATCCATAGAATGTCCATGTGGCTCCCAATTCAGTCCAGGCTACGAACACATTTTGGAAGCTCTTCATATGCTGTAGGAAGGGACAATCATTTAGGCACACGCATGCAAAAGGGCAGTCCCAGATTTACAGCCACACACCAAGGTAGAACAGGTGGCTGTAATGCTGTAAAAATGTATTGTGAAGAACTTGTGAATTTTAAAAACAAGGATGCCTGCAGACATAATAAATTGATGCATCATTGTGTTAAAGCTAAAGCTTTTGCCTTATCTTAAAATGACAACGCAGGGGAATTCCAGGAAAGGGACTGCTCCATAATTACTCATATCACAGCAATTTACTCCATTCATGCAGGTCACCTCCTTGATCTCAACAGGACAACGCACAATGTCATGGCTTACATCTGCCATACAGGTAAGAAACCAAGACCAAAGACACCCAACAAAGTCAACCCCAGAGAATTCCTGGGGAAAATAAATGTTTCAAGGTCCTGGCAAAGAAACCCAAGCCCTTCCCTTCCTCTACCACAAGACATGACATCTTTTCTTTGATTATTTTAAACATTTCAGTGGAGATGATGCCATCTGTTAGCCAAGAATTGCTTCCTCTTTCCCTCGTGTTTTTAGTGACAGCATACAAACCTGGAAATACTACAGACTGTAGTCGCTTTTCAATAGTATGGGAGCAATAAAATAAACTGATAGAGTCCTCTGCTAGCCCCAAAAGCTAAAGAAAGAGAAAGAGTGAGCATCTAGATTTAACTTCACAGGCAAGATGTATCCACCTCAATTAAGATGCAGATTAACAAGACAGTCAGCCTTATAGCATTTCACCAAACATTTTAACTAGGAAAATAAATAAATAAATAAGCTCAGGTGCAGTGGGATACTGAACAGAAAGAAACAGGGATAAATTGTCAATTATGATAAACTGGTTTCCTCGGTAACTATATTTATAACTGTAATGACATTGTTATTCTTTTAGTGATGGACAGGAAGGTTTGCTACAACAGTATATAATTCAGGTATACAACCAGCATCTGTTCCATTGGTAAAGCTGAATCTACATCTTAATGGAACATGGCAAACCTCTAAAAATTTTTAAATGCTTTAACATTTCTTCTAAATGTTTGTAGATTTCCTCCAAAGGAGGGGAGAGCCCACAGTGCTGAATTTCTCCCCCCACATCTGTGCCTGGCTTTATGAGGTTACTTCATTATCTTAGCCGGGCACTCCAGATCCAAGAGACAGTGGACAAAGGCACAAATGAGAGAAAGAGAAAAATAACAAATGAGAACAACTTGGGAGTGGTATTTGACTTGTTGAGCATACACGTAATCTTCATCATATGCACACACACAGGTGCTGTAATTGGACGTTGCCTCCTACCTGCTTCCAAAAATGATTTCATCAATAAATCGCCCCATGTTTTTGAAAATGTGCTTGAATTTCCACTACTGATATCAGAAAATCAGTTCTACTGATACCCTTTTAAGTGTCATTTTAACTATTTTCGTAAGTCAATTGAAATCCAGGCATCAATCACGCTCCTTCCCACAATCTAGCCTTCAGCTGCCCAGCAAAGCTGTGGCACCCCATCCCTGCAGGCACTCAAGGCCAAGTTGGATGGGGCTCTGGGCAGCCTGAGTTGGGAGGAAGGGGGCGGGGGGGGGGGGGCGAGGAGAGCAGCCCTACTCATGGCCACGTGTGGTTCTGGGTTGGATATAAGGTCTCCTCCAACCCAAAACATTTTTTGGTTCTACAGCCTTTCATCACAAGTCACTGGTCCTGAAAGCAGGCCACAACCTGGAGCAGCATCTGCCTTCTTCCCAGATTTTCCCCCAGTTAACACCAGCATTTAGGGATGAGAGGGTGTGAAGTCCTCTGGATTTCATCCAGACCTACCATCAGGAGGCAGTTGGATAACATGCATAGGTCTCCCAGCTAGACACATTTGTCAGTACCACAACTGGGCCCCATCAGTGACAGTCCCCACAGGGGCTTGTGATGGTGACAAACATGCTTCAGCATCACAGTACCCTTTCTCTCCAACATGCCCCAGAGCAGCTTATACTACAGTCAGTCATCTGTAGCCTGCCCACTTCTGCAATACTCTTAATCAGGCACTTGGGCAGTTGGTGTTGTTACTGCCCTCCACTCACAAGGAAGAGGAATGGAAATAGCAAAGCAAACCAAATCCTTTGGCAAAACAAAGACACTGTTTAGTTGCATCTGGAAGCAAATAAGCCTCCTGATGAACTACACTGTGGGCCGGAGGCTGC